CCTCGGCAGCCGGAAAAAGGTCCGTTGAGAAAAAAAAAAGAGTGAAGAGCGGAGCCGGGCTGTCTCGACCCACAGGGGACTGGATGCACTCAGGGCAGAACCAGACTGTCCTCCGGGGAAGGAACGGAGGCTCACGCGGAGCTATGGCAGCTACCGGGCTCGATGAAGACCTGAAAACAACCGTGGGCGCGACAAAGCTACGAAGAGGAGCCCATGAGCACCTCAGTTTTAGCCCTTGCGTCTGGCATCTGAGTTCTTTGGACGGAAGTCGTTTTTTTGTTCGGACTTCTTCTCTCTGCCGTAGTCCTGTCGCAGTCTGCTCCTACTACCTACACGGTCCCGTGTTGGGGCCGGTCTGTCAGCGCAGCGTGCCGGCTGACGGGGTCGGCAGGCGCGAGTGCCAACACCTCGTCCAGGGCTGGCACCTGACTCTGCGCCGGCCCGGGCACAGCACGTGCTCGGCCGAGTGCTGTGTGGCCGATGGCCTGCTGCACTGCCGTGGAGAGCACGCTCCACCAGCGTCGCGCCCAGTCTGCGCGGGCTGGGCCGCGCACGGCCGTCGGGCCCGGCAAGAGCGCAGCGCGACCAGGCGCCGCACAAGCGACATGGTTGAGGCCTTCCAGCGTCCACCAATTTCCACACCTGAGCACGCAAAGGGACTGAGCGCCCCCCTCAGCGAGCTCGGTGGATCGCTTGCGATGCTCTGCCACGTGCAACACAGCCCCATTTCGAGAAGGGTCCCCAGCATGTGGGGTACCATTCCGACAAGGGCGGGCCCGCATGCGGGTGCTTGGTTGACGGCCATCCCGAGCGACCCTCACACGTCGCGCCCCGGACGTCATGCAGATAGCCCTCCGCTGCAGGCTACGGCTCCCGCTGCCGTTGGCGCCGGCCACTTGTGGTGACCGCGACGCGCCTGGCTGCGGACAGCGTTCGGACGCACTTGGTGACCACCCCTTGGCTTGCCGTTGCACGGGCCTCCTCGCCCGACGCGCAAAAGTCGTCAAAGGGGGCGTGGTGCCGAGTCGCCCGTGAAGCCGTCGGCCCTGAAGGGCATGTGCAGCCCCAGCAATGGCTCGCACACACCACCGCGCCTGGCGTCGCTTCAGATGACCGCCGTCGGCTCGACCTTGTGATTTATGGAGCGACGCCACTGGGAGAGGCCATCTGTTGCGATGCCACTCTGGTGTCGCCGCCTGCGAGCGCAGCATCGCTCGGAAGGCCGGAGGCAAGGAGGGCAACAGCACGTGGTCGCGGAAGAAAACGTTGCGAGTACGCGACGCATATAGCGTTGCCATCCATGTCTCTACTCTCCGAGCTCGATGTCCGCATCAGCCTCCGCCGCGCACGGTGCGGCCCCGCGCACGAGTTCATCCCATGCAGGGGGCTCACTCCAGCCTTCGGCCACAAGCAGAGACCTGCTTTCTTCCGCCGCCCGCAAACAAGCAGGGGTGTGCTCACCAGACAGGGCACGCACTGTCCATGCGGCAAGGGCAGGGCTGCGTGCGGCGAGGACCGGGAGCGCATCGGCCCAAGCTGCCCAGTAAGCCGCAGGGGCAGTGCGAACCGCTTCGGCGAGGCCCAACCCGCCCAAGTATGCAAGGAGGAAAGCGATGTCTGGCGCAGGGCAGGCAACGTCCTCGGCAGGCTTCTCCAAGCAAGCTTGCCAAGTACCCCATACAGCCGCGTCATGCGCCGCGGCATACGGTTCGTTGAGCGGGGGGGGGTGGTGCGGAGCGCGTGGTTGGCACGGGGTGCCGCGCAGTAGCACAGGAGGAGCCAGGCACACTGCAAGTCGGGCATTTGCGGCAACTGTCGCAAACGGGCCTCCTCCAGGTCTAAGCGGTCCGTGCCCCAAGCCCGTGTGTACTCAGCCGTGCCGATCGGCGTGCCCAAGGCGACGAACCCATGTTCCGGCAACGGCTTGTCGCCGCGCCACACGTCAGGGCCCAGCTCAGCCACTCGGGGCGGCGCAGGCCCGCCCGCGAAGTTGAAAGCGCGGGTTTTGCCTCGATTCGCGAGAACTGAGAACGCATTTGGCCGAGAGACAAGAAACTGTCGCGGCACAGGTGCACAAGTTGGTTCAAGGTACAGCAGACAAATCAGAACATTTTTTTCATACGCCTTTTTCCGCCTGCCGGAGTCTCTTTGCTCCTACCGGAGCCGCCGCTGAGCCCAGCCGCAGCTGCCCCTCCGCGGCCCCTCGCTAGGGCCTGGCCCTCTAGGGCGGCATGGTAGAGGATGCTGTCGAGCGGCGGGCCCTCGCCGGCCGCCGGCCGCAGCGGCTGCAGCCAGGCGCCGCCCAGAGCCGTACTGGCGACTGCCTGCTGCACCGCAA